TAGCCTCCCCATTATGTCCAAATAAGAGTGGTCAGCCTTGAAAGCATATACACACAAAAAACAGAAATAGGCTCAGCTGCCTCTAACTCCAGCTCCAGGGGATCCAATGACCTCTCCTGGCCTCCGTGGGCATCCTGTATCCCAGTGTGTGTTATAATAACAAGCATAACACCACTAAATCACTAAGTATTTGTTATCCTCATTACAGTCTCGTTCATTGTGAAATGTCCCTGGGAAATTGCTTTATATCATTTATTCCCTCAATTTCGTAACTTAGCTAGTCTTAATATAAGTAACTGTGAGTAACAAATCAAGTTAGTGAGTCAAGTTCCTGTTACCCACTCAGGACATTTGAAAGCACTTATTAAGGTCAGGTAAGTGGGGCCAGAGAGGTGGCTCCATGGTTAAGAGCACTCTTCCAGAGGATCAGAATTCCGGCCTCAGGACCCACATGATACAGGCAGCTCACAGCTCCCTGTAACTATATCTTTAGGGGATCCAATGCCTCTGAATTCCATGGGCACCTGTGCTCACATGCATATACCCCCATGCACACACATGACTAGATGTGATAAAAATAAATATTAAAAAGAAAATACAGAAATGATTATGACTTCTGCCCCCTCCCCTCTGCAGCAAGAACTCCCCAAACAGGAGGAGGTGAAGTTAGTATGTATCTTTGGCTCTGTGGCATTCCCCATGTTCTCTCCCATCTCTCACTGGTTTTCCCATTATTCATAGGCAGAGCCTGTGCTTTTAACTGCCAACTGCCTTTTGCCCAAGTATTTCCACCTTTATAATGTGAAATAGAACTCTGCTGGTGGTGTAGCAAGGGTGTGCCTAAAACGCGAATCCATAGCTTCAACCTCCAGTAATACAAAATCAGAAAGAGATAGAACTGCCTAGACAGAGGAATATGGGGCATTTAGAGACTAACACAAGGCAATAAGAACCCAAACACTGGAGCGATGGCCCAGGGTTATTCACGCGCACGAGAAAGCTTGGCTGAAAGGACCCCAGGGCAGCATGCACAGAGAGAGAAGCTGAGGGTGCTTCCCCGCATCCAGTGCCACCTTAATCCAACTGCATTGCTGTCTGGACTCTCTAACATGCTCCGCTTTTCTATGAATATCTGTTGATATTGTCATCACAGCATATGCAGAGGAGAGCTAATGTTTTCAGAAAATAATGCTAGAATTCTAGTTTCATTTCTGTTCACTTCCTTGGTCACTGCAGTGAGAAAGCAAAGATGTAATACACTTGGATAACCAAGGACTGGACAGGTCATAAAGTGATGGAATCTCTCCAATGCTCAGCGCAAGGAGGACGTACTCCAGATGTGGCTGCTCTCCTGAAATGAAGTGAGGATTTAGAATCCAACAGGCCTTCCTGCCTCCTCACTCCTGTGTGTGTGTCTGCAGCTTGCTGTGGGTACTATGACAGCATTCTATACTGCATACTTCCTGGTTCATTGTGAATGTCACCTCTGCCTCTGGCACTAGCGTGGAACAGGTCAGCAGCAACTGGAGTTGCATATCCTCATTACATGATTGTCAGAGGGATTATCCAGTGAAAGGAGGTCTTTTTTGAAGGTATCTATGTGTGCTGAAGTGTTTAAAGACAGGTGACAGGCAGGCACACCACAATTGAATATCTGTCCATATTTTTTCCTCTAAAAGTAATCAAATACTTTAGCCCTTCCAGTAATCGTGCATGGGCTAATCCTATCTCACCGAGCCTAAGCTATCCTCTCACTATATGAGTCTACAGTGGTTCCAGCCCCTACCTGGTTCCATATGTCTATGTTTAAGTCATCAACCTTTGTGCAGAATTGCTGTAAATGAAATGGCAGCTGGGTGGAGATGCCCCGTTGCACTGGGTGGAGATGTCCCTAGTGTCAAGGTTTTTCAAGTGTGGCCGCCTCCGCAGAGTCAGCGTCTGTGTCATCATGTAAGGATACAGTGTGCCCTAACCTGTAGAGAAGTGGTACCCAAGCCACGAAAGTGGGGTCCTGAGCTGGAGATGTGTTTCACCAGAGCTGAGCCATGCTTTCTCAAACATGCTTGGGAACTTAGCATACTGCTTAACAAAGCCACCTACCACGAAGTCAGCTTATAATGTGCGCTCAGATATTTCATGTGAAGCACAGCCCTGGGAGTGAGTGTGGCCTCAAACAACTGAAAACACAAGAGCCAGATGATCAGGTTTGAGCAGTCTGAGCTGATGTTAATAACACTTCATTCGCAGGAACATTCCCATTGTCAATAGTGTGCTTTTCTTCCTTAGAGAAATCTTTTAGGAATACCCATACAGAAGACATGTTTAAGAAACACAGTCGCCCTAGTCACGCATTCAAAGTTTGAAGATCTATTTTTCCTAAGAAGCCAACTAAGGCCCTTTCCAAGAAAGCATAAAATATTTTCATATTTTCTTGAATTTGATCCAATTTCAAATTTGTTATTACCAAAGCAGTTTTAATTATTGAAGAAACATCTAAGAAAGTAAGCTCATTTCCAAATGTATATAAGTCCAATACAGTATTGAACCATCTCTCATTGACCCAACGTGACTTGAAGTATGTACAGTTTTCAGTAAAGTGAAATAATGATGTAATCCAGTGAAGACTAGTAGGTTCCCATAGCAGACGAGAGCACTCTTCAGTGTGGCCGTAGCTATGGCTCTATAGCATGCTCATAAAACTCCACATTAAACCCTCCTCTGTGCTTAGTGTTTTGTTACTTAAATGTAGATTTGAACCTCAGTGTTTTGTAACTCTTGGTTTCTCTTCCTGCACTGAAATTTAGTGCTTTCTCTTTTGGACAGAGTCCACTGCAGCTTTTTTCTTATTTATTTATTTATTTATTTATTTATTTATTTATTTATTTATTTGCTTGTTTCTATGCCTCTAAGGCATATGAGTCAAATGTTTTAGAAGAAAACATAGAGTCTAAGAAATAAAAAGGTCGTCTCTACCAAAATAAAACCACATTTTGTTAGTGCTTGATATTTCATCTCATCATGTACTCTTCACTCCCAAGCTTGGCATGCATTGTTTTAAGGCAGAAAGAATATAATACAGGAACCGAATATAAAGTCTTACTGAACTATGGCTCTGTTTAAATCACCAGAGTGGTTCATGAACCAGTATGAATTAGCGATATCACATGCAAGCCTGACCTGGACCCTAAGACTGCTCCTGCAATGTAGTCCATGACTTCCAGGCGTCCTGAGGCCGGCTTTATCAAGTACCGTGGCACTCATCCCACGGCCACTTTGAGTGTCTGTCCCCTTCTTGCTTCCACTACAACAGTACACAACTGTAGAACTCACTCCAACCCTGTCCTTCCTTTTCTACTTTCCATCTGCATCTGTAGACTTCTCATTTAGCAGATGCTGCATCCAGAATCCTAAGACCCTGAACCTCTCAGTTTCCTTTTTTGCTAACAGCAGGTAGCCCCTTGTCTCTGCCCAAATATGGTTCTTGCTTGTTGTTATAAAAGAATGAAAATCCCAAACATTCTATTTTGCCAATGAAGACTCAGGAGCCAGATGCTAGGGTGAAAGCCTGCTAGCTGAGAGAGGCAGAGAAAGCACCCAGCTGACCCTCTTTCTCACCTCATGTCCCAATGGGAAACAAAATCTAAAAGTTTCACTAGCTCAGCTGACACAGCACAGGAGGAAAAGGCCAAAAAACCCAAGGGCAAAGGCTTGATTGCTCAAAGCTCAAAAAGCCCATAAAGCTCAAAAAGCCAGAGAACTAAAGCTCAAAAACTAGAAAGCTAGAGCTCCTTCTACTGAATTTGGAAACCCAGACCTGGCTGTATCTCACTGTGTGACCTGGGCCAAGATCCTAAGGCTTGCTTTCTTCATCTTAAAGAGGAGAGTCAAGCCCACTCACTTGGGACTTTATGTTTTAATTACAAAATTTTAGAAAAGCAAACAGAAAGAAAAGTGAACCATGCCTTATATCAGCACCTGAAAAGGATTTGTGAACACTGACATTCATTCATTGTTTGTTTGTTTTTTTTTTTTATGTAAACTTTTCAAAATTTTCAAATCTAAATGCTCTCTAGAATTCTTGTTTTGGGTTGAAAAACTGAGACTGAGGGGGTCTAGACTAGCAAGTCACAGGGACTGGGGCTGGAAGGTAAACTTCAATTTTCAGCACATAATTCCTCACTTGTGGGTGTGTCCGATGTAGGGCCTGCCTATATAGATGCTCTCTCTGGAGATGCTCCCTATGTGGGCACTCCCCATGTAGGTGCTCCCTCTGGAGATGCTCCCTAGGTAGGCACTCCCCATGTGGGCACTCCCTGTATGGGTACTCCCAATGTATATGTTCCTTAGGGAGGTGCTCCCTATGCCGGTCCTCCTTAAGCCTTTCTTTGCTCTGTTGAGGACATCTTGGGACTTACAGAACACATTTTGATTTCAAACTTTAATTTTTATTTTTACTGAAACTGCTTACTCAAATGCTACATTTATAATACTTTGATAAGTACACAGTAAAACAGCAACTCAAGAGAGAACAAGTTAATAATTAGCTACTTCCTTGATCATACTGACAATGAGTCCCAATCACTAGTCAGTTATCATTTAGAAATGGGACAACCTTCTGCATTCTTTTTTCTCTGTGTGAAAAATAAGAGGGAAAAAGTAGTGTCACTGAGCAAACTGAGTAATATAAATCATTCATACGCTGACAGTCATGCATTGATGGCACCTGAAACAAAATACCTTGGCATGCTCTACCTTACCTTCATTACTCTAGGAAAACACATTTATGTGCAGGTGACAAAACCATGTAACATAGAGCCTGTTTTATGATGACGTATCGGTTTTCTTATGTGGCTTGCTAAGCACAGTAACTGTAGAGAATGGGTGAGTAATTTTGTGATCACATCGCTCATGGGGACTTCGATGCTCTGTGGGCAACTTCTTACTGCCTCACCACAGTGACATCATTTCTGTGACAAAATACCTGAGCAAAACCATGTAGAACTGCCCCAGAGGCATTGCCCCTAGTGGCTGTGTGTCACATGTGTGTCAGTAGGTGGCAGAGAGGAGGCTAGGTCTATGCTCAGTGTTCTGACCTGAGACCATCTGAATGGTTAGTAGCCTAACAAGCCCTGAGAAAAGCAAGCCTGTGATGGCTCTGAGATGGCCTGGATAGGCTCTCACAGCAGGGATTGATCCAGAGACCAGAAGAACCCTACCTAGGACCTTAAGTCCTGAGCAAGAGTGAGCCCAAGACAGATGACGATAGAGCCATGGAGGCAGGCCAGGGTGAGGAACTAGCTTGAGATAGCCACAAGTACAGTGCCTCGCAGGCCAGACAAGCTCCCAGGGCAGAGAAAAGCCAGACACTAGATGAACTAGTAAGCCTAGGACTACCAGGCCTGTGAGAGAAGCAGTCCTGAAAGGACCACCAGCATTATGGGGCCTGGACAGGGACCTAGCCCAAGTGACCACCAGCCCCATACCATGCAGGTCTGACAGGGCAGACCATGCCCAAGATGCCACTGCCCAGTGCTGTAATGGAGGAGCATGGCATAGCACTACTGAGACCATTCCTGAGAAGATCCTAGACACTCAGAGATCCTGGGAACCAATTGTGTGGATATGGAAGAGAAAGAGAAACAGAAGGATGTGTGCCCAGTGAAGAGAAGCAGAAAAGGAGACTTGAGAGCAGTGAGGAACAGCCTGATGTGAGTAGCGGGGCACACCACCAGGGACCGTGGTAGGGGTCCTGGCCTGTGCCACCACAAGAGGCCACATTTGGGTTTGTTGCCATGTAGCAGCAGGGTTTTGTTACCGCCAAAGGCCAGGCCAATGTCCTTGGTCTGGGCTTATACTTGTAGACATGCTACTGCTCTCAGCTGTGCAGAACTGGCCCCACCACTTACCTGGGCATTATGCGAGCTGGCCGTGAGAGTTGGGCAGGAGAGCTGACCTTGCCTCTAGCCAGCTGCAGGACTTGGGCGAGCACCACATACGCTGTAGGAGTTGCAGATGAGCCAGCCCCGAGGATATGAGCTTGAAAAGGCCGGCCTGCCGCTCATCTCCCAAGTGATAGCATACCCGCCCCCCTTGCCTTCTATACCTGCAGCAGGTGAAAGACCTGGCCCTCAGGTTGTGAAAGCAGGAGAGCTATTCCTGCCCCTCACTAGCTACAGCACTGAGGAAAGAGGGCCCTGCACCTCGCCTGGGCAACACAGTAGGGATGACCCAGGTCGCAGGGGTATAGGTTTGATCCTGGTAGAACTGGCCCCACCACCTGTCTTCCCAGTGGTGACTTAGATAAGGAGAATCTTTGCCACCTCTGAAAGGTAGGCGAGCTGACCCCAAGGTCATTAGAACAGGAGAGCTGTCCCTGCCCCTCACCTTGGCAGCACAGTAGATATGGCCCTGGGGGGGGGGGGTGAGCTGGCCCCAAGGGTGTAAGCATGGTAGAGCCAGAACTGCCTCTCATCCACTGTACAGTGGAGTTAGTGAGGAAAAGATGACCTTCCTTCCCTTCTGCCCTTGACACTGGCAGGAGAGAGAGCTGGCCCAGATGGAGTCATAAGAGCAGGACAACTGGTCCCGTTTCTCACCTGAAGTCCTTGGGGGAGCAGGCCCGGCACCTCACCTTGGCAGCAAGTAGAGCTAGCCCTGAATGTGGGGATTGCCGGTGAGCAGGCCTGGGGTGTGAGAGTGTTGTTGCTCTACTTCATGGAGACCCTGTAGTTTTGGATCTGTAGGACCCGCCCCTTCCTGCCCTCCAACAGTTCATTCATGGGTAAACGCTGGGCTGGGCCAATTCAAATCCCTAGATTTGGGCAACAGCAGGATATCTGAGAGGAGCCCCAGTGAGTTTCCGGTGCTGATGGAGCAGCAGAAGCTAGGGGTCTTGTACCAGAACAACAAGTTGTTGCAATGAACATTTGCAAGCCAAGAAGTGTGACTAGAAGTGCATGCTGTGGAGCACACTGGGATACACTACAGCTTCCACAATGAGTTCTTTCTCTTTTCCTCTGCTGGTAGAGAGGTTGCAAGGGTGGAGGGCGGGTACCAGGGGAGGGGGCGATGAGTGGGATTGGGGTGCATGATATGGGATTCACAAAGAACCGATAAACAGTTTTAAAAAATAACTTTGAGGTAGAAAGGTTTGTTTTAGTTCCTGTAAGTAGGCAGAACACAGATCAGAACAATTCACTTCCCAGTGGCCAGAAAGCGGAGGGGGGGGGCATGGACCCACCATCTGGGTTCTCTTCTTTTTTCCTTTTATTCTCTCTGGGCCTCCAGCCCATGTGATGGGCTCCCCCCACTCAAGGAGGCTCCTTCCTCCTGAACTAACCCTCTCAGGAACACGCCCTCTCAGGCACTCAAAGGTGTAATTTTCTGATCTCCTAGGCAGCTTTTAATCCAGCCAGGGCTACCCATCACAGTGGTTTCTCATGAGCATGTGATACCATCAAACTGTTGTGGAGTTGAAAAGTCATGAATGGAACATCTATGTATGTAAAGAAAGGCCAAATGTGCGAAGCTGAAACAGAAAATGCCGGCTGCTTTCACTGTGAAGCTGGTTTTGTCTTGTGTCATTGGTATTTATTGGTAGTGGTGATGCTGCAGACTTGAACAGTTAATCGCATGATAAGGAGCACCCAGAAGTGGCTTTTGGAAAGATGTGGTCTTTGAAGGTGGGCTATAAAAGTCATATCACTTCTGGAATGTTGGGATAAAGAAAGTCTGTGTTTCTGTAATGTCACAGCTCCTTGAATGTTCAGGAGTTTCTGAATGCTGCTGAAATGCTGTAAGATATTTACAGACATTTTTGTTTTTGAGACAGGTTCTCACTTTGTCTAGGCTACCTTGTATCTTGACCCAGCCTTGAACATGTCATCTTCCTGCATCAGCCTCTTCAGTGCTGACCTGATAGGCATATGCCACCATGCCCAGTTGCTAGAGACTTTTGAAAATAGTGAGACTGAAATGTTAGAGTCCTAGAACATGCTTTAGAGAAGGTACAATACAGTATTCCTAAATTTTAATATTTATTTAACGCCTTTATGATGACCGTATTCATACACTTCTCCGCTATTTTTATTTTTCTTCAAATCATCTGTTTTTCCCTTTTATTTCAAAGAAATTGTAGACCACCACTACAGTGAAGAGACGCCTGCAGGAGTCAGCCCACTTGCCTCCATTGCTCAGTACCATTGTCCCAGTGTTCTATGTACTAGACTTGCTCAATAACTACTAAAGAATGAAAATCACTTCACACTGAAAACAGATCTTGAATCAGCAAGATGTAGCCTTCTCAAAGTGTGGAAACAGAGGCTCAAAACTTACTGGCTGTTCAAGTCCACAGAATCAAAATTGGCAACCAGGACTAGTTGTATCTAGAGCTTCCATTCTTTCCTTTTCATTATAAATGACAAAGCCACCGACAAGTTAATATACGAATACATTTTTGCTGTGTTCATAGAAAATGTACCATGAAGCACAAACAGGAGGAACGAACAATCAAATAACAACAAAAGGCTGGACACTATCATGGCACTGGCAGCTTGGTTGAAGCAAAAATGTACTGCAGTGTTTCCTGTCTCTCCCAGTCTGTAGAAGTAGCAGACCATGAAGTTAGAAACAGCAAAAAATTGTGCCTTCCGTAGGGTTGTGCACTCAGTAACCAGCAGTACAGAGTGACGGAGCTACTGCTGTCATTTACTAGAATCGTCACAAGCACATTACGTATGGCGTCTAGCTGAAGAGAATCACAGATGCTTACTGAAACAAGCCATATGGTTCCCAGTGACAACAGTAGAAAGTCCAAATGGATCCTGTTGATTGTTCAAAATTATAATACTAAGCAGCATGATTAGATTTTCACAATGCTGTAGCAATTTTTCCAGGGTGTTCCAGGAACTCTGCAGTGCTGTGAAGCTGGCTTCCTTCTAGAAAGTTCAAGAGTCAGTGTGACTTGAGGAAGGAGGTAGAGGAGGTTGTTTAGGCTATGAATCAACACTATGGCAGTCTGTTGATTTTGAAAGCATCCCAAATTTTTATTATGAAAACAAATAAGAATTAAATGGTTTGGGACAAGTCCTGGTGCTTGCTGTGAAGCCAGCTTCCTGATTTCATATCCTGAACTCAAACTGCTAATCCAATTTGCTTTTGCTTTGTCTGCAAGTCACTTCCTTGACCAGCTATGCACTCAGGGAGCTACCTTTCTTAGGTAAAAGCTCTATGCAAGGCCCCTTTTAGATTAACTCACATTTCTAGTAAGATTTGTCCTTGCTAGGCATCTTGGCACATGCCTGTAATCCCATCACTCAGGAAGGCAGAAGCAGAGGCAGGTGGATCTCTGTGAGCTTGAGGCCAGCCTGGTCTACAAAGTCAGGGATAGCCAAGGCTATACAGAAAAACCCTGTCTCAAAAAACTAAACAAACAAACAAAATATTAGTTCTCTTGCAAAAAAGCAAGGCTCAGCAGCCTGATCATTTCCTACAGAACATAGCCCAGGGGTGATGAACAGCCCACGGAGGGCGGGGTGACAATGGGACTTCCATATCTATGGCTTGAGGCAGTCACTATCTTATTACTGGAATTTTGAAAGCAGGAAGTTGTGACCTATAAAACAGACACCTGTGGGTTTTCTGGAACTTGGATGCTTGCCTTCTGATGTCAGATAATCAAACTATATCTTACGTGTGTGCTACTGGCTGCCTCTGAAAGAGGCACCTCCAAACACAGCCTTTCTCTCACCGCTGGATTTTTTTTTCTGTTCTTCAGTTCCTCACTGTTTTCTACAGCAGTGGTGCAGCAGTGACAGAGCCAAGTCACAGAACAATCCTGTTCCCAGCCCAGTGTTTCAAACAGATTACCTCACGAATTGGACTTCTTCCACCAGAAAAAACTTACAAGAAGCAGAGCAACTTTTCAAAGCAAAGTAAACACATAGCCCATGACTGACTGCATTTGGCACATAAAATAATATGTACGTCCAGTAGACCTAGTGCAGTGACTGAGGCAACAGCTTCCCTTTCCTGCTCAAGGCCACCAGACTGTCTTAGGGCTGACCTCTTTTCTCCTAACCCCACGCTCAGTCTACCCTTTGAGTCAAGTGTGTAACCTTTTGCTACTT